CTCGAACCTTCAACGCGTTATACGAGTATATCTCCCCATCCCCTTTTCGCCCCATTATATTGTCGCTTTCACTGCCTAAAAAATGAAGTGCCTCTGTACGCAATGCACGCAACTTTGATGCCATATATACTTCGATTAATTTAATTATTGGTCACCGCTTGCTGTCAATGTATAAGGAAGAGACTTAATTAAGAAGGATTTATATTAAGAGAATATTATATCTTCGTTTCTCGACAGCGAGTGCGAGATAAATTATGTTTCTCTGAAGATTATTATACTTGTATAGTTTAATCTTTAACAGATGACTCACCATTAGGTAGCAAAATTTAAGTGATGTATTAATGGTAATAAAAATATATTTTTTACTTCTTTCTCCTATCTTTATCTTTCTTAATAAAATTCAAATTTCGAAAGAGATATGAGACAGACATTTGCATTTTAAATATAAAGAAGATTGAAATCTATAAGTATAAAGAATAAATTTTGTATAGCAAAAAATATTTTTGTTTGGAACCAACAAATATATTTGTAACTTTTAATTATTTAGATTTTGAGAAATTTATACGACATATATGGCTTTTTTTCCTATTGAAATGGTCCTTGAAATTAATGAGAAATAACAAAAACTTTGAAAAATCTCAACGATCGTGTAGGCTGCGGAATTTGGCGCAACGAGATGCGATTGTAATGAAATGTTTCGCGATTAAGTAACATCGCGGTTCTTCGAGAAGATGTCATCATTTCTACGATAATGTTTATTCATGATCACGATTAGCTACTTACTATGTCAGAACTAGAGTCCGCGCTCCGCCTACCTCGTAAATTTTCATGTTCCATTGTATTCTAACGTGTTTTTGTATCATTCTTTTGCGCACTGCTTGAAAAACAGTTTCTTCTTGTTGCCTCATTTAGTATCACAGAAAATATGAAATCGCCATAAGATATTTCAGAATCTATTTACTGGCTTTATAAAGCCAGAAAATGAATTATAGGGTCATTCGAGATAATTGGCAATTATTCTATAGTAGCCTTGTGGGATTAACTCACACTAAGGTATCGAAATAAATTACACACGCGCAGGAATCTTTTGCTTGATCGTACCTCGATTCGCGATCGCTATTGATCAGCTCGACCGAATCGACCCGGCTAGCCTGGCAATGATCTTAACTAGACTTTCATATTCACTGGTGCATTATCGCTGCTACCAGGATACCTTTTTATAAAGCCTCGAAACCGCAAATGTCCGAAGATCGATTTGTTCGCATATTGATATCGCCTAATTTCTTCATGTTTTTCTACTAATCTTCACATTTTTTCTCATTACTTTTTTGTGCTGCCTTCCCGTTATTTATCCAATTATATAATAATAATAGTGATAAAGTGAGCAAAAAAATTTTTTAAATTTCATGCTATTGATCTGTAATTACAGAAATTATGTTTTTTGTATCTGATGTTATTTATTAATATTAAAATTTGTATTGTAAAATATCTTTCAGTCTTTCATTCGTTTTCTTAGTCTGACGTTGTTATATGGTTAAGCAAATGCAAAGTAGTGAGAAGACAGCGCAAAAGGAGAAATAAGATAAGTAAAAAATTAGATGAAAAAATATGAAAATTTAACTATACATATGTATATTAAATGAACCGGAAAATAAATACATTGCTCTACGCCATACACTGGCAAACCAGCAACATTCTACCCAAGGCGATTACGGCCATGGCGTTTATTTACTCTCTTGCTTTATCTTAATGGAATTTCAATAGTCTGATTTGGTATATTCCTATCCTGCTAAGCGTCCACAGCCAGTGGGATAACCGCTGTTAAATTTATGAGATCTTTGGAATTTCATATTTTATAGATAAGAATATTAAACTAAATTTTGAAAAAGGAAGAATTTCATACTCGTTCAGTCGCATATTTCTTTATCGCGTATAGTATTAATTAATTTAATGCAGTAATAATTTTTTTTATTTCTTAGTGGTTCGTAAGAATTACTTATTCTGATTTAAATTCGTGACAAATAACACTCTATAATCTCTACAAATCGAAAAGAGATTTGAAAGTATTATATTGCTGGCTATACTCGATATATGTTGATCATAAATTATACAGTCACATGTTTCGGACGTAGCAGAAATATTAATAGTCACGCTCAGATGATCATCGAAATGATCTAATAATCATCTCCACGGCATAAATCGTTAAGTAATCCTTTTCTTGAATACGCTTATACTCGAAGATGAGCTGCGAATGCTTTAAGTGCTTGACAGTATTAACATTCAATCCAATTTCTCACTTTAACGAGCGCAATATAGTCAACAAGAAGACGATGCAGATACTCATAATAAACATGTCGATCGTTCCAAGGCGATCGCCCACAAACGAATAATTCATTAGTGACAAATGTGATTTGACCCATTAGCACAATCACGGTTATGCATGTCTCATCCTCTCTTCCTTTCCTTCGTATCTTCTAACATAATGTGGCTAACGGAATTCGCGGACGCAGACCGGAAAAGAGCGCCGCAGTTCAGATACCGACGCGTGCCATCGCTCGACTTGTCCCGTATGTCCATACATGAGGATCTCCGGAGTTAAGTCTTGCCTATAACGATCCTTCTAGCTCGCTGATGGACTGAACTCCGTAGATCCTCATATAGAACATACTTGAAGATATATATGAGCAATGATTTCTTGCTATTACGCATAAAAAGTGATACGAAAATATCACTTTATGTATATGCAATTGAATTGATCGATAACCGGCTTTTTACCGTCAACAAAATGCATTCCAAAGCCGTACTTTGACAATCTATTCTTTCACAGAAATATTGAACAATTTATTAATAAAATTAAATATTATGTATATGTATATTGATATTATGTTAAATATTATAGCCGCAACATTTATATTTTAAAAATTTTAGTTTCAAACTTAAATTTTTTTAAATTTATATCTTCATAAAATTTTCTTTTTTACACACATGTATTTGTATAATGTAAAATTTCCAAATTTTGTAATTTTGTAACTTTACAATTTAACAATAATCTGTAAAATTTCAAATTTTTTACTGTTAAAATAAAAAGAAAATAATTCTTTTTAATTTTAATATTTATTGTAATTTATTTATTATTTATATTTGTAAAATTGTAAGTTGCAAATAAGAATAGATTGTCAAAGCACTGTATTTAATAATTATATCGTAAATATTGACGAATAAATAGTCAGCAAATAATATTCATATTTTATGATTATGTAAATATATGAATGAATTGACTCACCGATTGTTGATGTGTGAGTATGAGTTGTAGAAATTCCAACTGAATACGTCTTTTCAGCTACATCTCTGCAATAATTAATATATATATATTTATTTATTTATTTATTTATTATTAAGAGATTACACATTTATTATTATCAAACATTTTATATTTGTTAATTATTTCTTAATCAATTATTTAATTTTCTTTTCAATTAAAATATGCAATAAATAGTTATTTTTTTCAAACTTTTAACAAATGTTCAGCAAATATTTTTATAAATATTTTAACTAATATTTCAAAAATATCTTGATAAATATTTAATAAATAATTATATATGTGTGTTTTTATAGTTATATATGTGTATATTTATGAAAAATGAACAAATATATATATGTATATTTACCAGCTACAGTATTACAATCCTACAGCTTATGATTTCGTCTTGAACTGTTCTGTCGAAGATTTGTACTACAAATGAATAAAAGTTGACATACTTTGCGGAAATCGTATAGATTTGCGTCGCGAATTTGTTACGCTGTAAATATACAAAACACAAACGATAGTTAAACATTCTTTGCTCTAGGTGGTGCTAATGTATTACATTTTATACGTAGTGGTTACATATTCAAAATGTTATGCACATTTAAACTGACAATCCATACTTACACACTTAAAGCGAGTGAGACGAATGACAATTGTCTTGGCGGTCGTACGGAGGTCGCCATGAATACATACAATATCGTGCAAACAACTACTCGATCTGCTTTCAACGGGCTGAAGTACTTTAACATGTACTGAAAAAATATATTACGTTTTGATTCTCCTAAGCAAATGTAAAGATTATTTTTCACGTCTATCTATATACTTACTCGAATCCTAACCTGCTTCAATTGCTACCCGTCTAACGATCGAAACAACGTAAACCGAATCGAACCGAACGAAATCGCAAAAACCCGCAAAATATGTTTAAACAAATTGCTCGTTACTTTAATCTACACTCCCAATAAAAACTCGCAACATTAATCATTTTTTGTAGGCGATTTCTACAGTTAAAGTATGGAATCAAACTTACGTTTCGTAAAATATTTCGCGCTCTGTGCATTCCGAATTCCATTCAAAAATGGACCGAAAAATGGGCCAGTTTACAATATAAATTTTACACCAGCCAATAGGGTGGTGAGTACAGTAGCCAATAGGATTTGTGCGCTACCGTACTAGACGCTGTGAGTTTCGGAACGCAGGGCGCGAACGTTTTTTTTGCAATCACAAGCTGTCAATTGTATATTTTATCCGTAATAATTGTGTGTGTGTAAAAAATGATTAAGAATTATGATTCTTTTGTCGGAAGTAAATTAATATAACGATTACAGTAATGAGCAATTGCTGAAACGTAGTATTTACTACAAATGTTTGCAATTAATGATATATTGACCGTCTGGCGGTCGGCGGATTAAAACAGGTTATAATTCTAACAATTCTTTATGTGATAGATACGCAAAATAATCTTTATATTCGCTCAAGATCATCAAGAGAATCAAAATACAAAGTATTTTCCATTAAATGTAGTATGTTTAAAAACTCACAATTAGTAATTGACTGAATTTATATCTTGACGAGAGCTGCATTTCAATGTTCGCTGCCAGTGCTGGAAATCTGTAGTTCATATTACGTATATCATAGGTTTTCAGCACTGTTAGTGCATTTTAGAACACATTTTTATTTTGACAGTTTGAAATCATCATAAAATTTTTGATAATTTGACGTGTACTATCTAGATGCTTGTGTCAATATATAATCTGTATATATCTCTCTAACGCTCCAAATTCTTGGAAATTGACATAGCTTCAAATGTTGACATTTTTTTGGTCATTGAGGTATGTGTTTGTAGAGACCGAAATCTTTTCATGGCCGCCAGTCTCGTTTGTTTCAACATGTAATATCTGTGCGTGCCGCGACGACGTGTATTTAACTCGCGTTTCGTGTATCGCGGAGTGATAAATGTGCTATATGATTTCGTGTGATTTTCGTCTAATATTTGCTTCGTTCAGTAGTGCACATAATTAGTTATAAGTGTGTGTGTGTGTGTGTGTACGTGTGGAGTCATCGTCGTTCATTGATTTTTCAATGCAACTGCTATGTGGAAATTCGAAGCGGAATTTGCAGTGGATGAAGTAAACTGCAACATCCTTGCTGGTGAGTACACAATTATCTGTTTACTATTTAAATTATGATGGTGTATATATACACAGTTATTAAATATTTGCAGTAGTTCCGGTATGTAAGGACGTCTTTTTGCTCATTGAAAAGTACAAAATTCATCTCTCTTCCACGTTGAACAGTCTTTTATTAATCCGCTAGCCAGGATCCAAGCCAGATTATCCCTCCTACGTTCCAACGCTTGGCTCGAGCCTTTTATCTCGCTCACTCTTATTGTTATATTATTCTTTTGCTTGAAAAGAGAACAGCTGTGAGGTTTATATTACAACTTCTGAAAAGATGATTCCGAACGATATCCTAACATCTGGAAGCTATTGTACTATACATTTAAAAATGTTAACAATTTTTAAAACATTTATTGAATATTTATAAAAGATTTTTAAAATAATTATTTATATAATTTATGACATAGTTATGTTTTAATTAAAATGAGAATAATTAAATAATTAAAATGCATGATAATTCTTAACAATTTAAATATGTATTAATTTTTGTAGGTATAGCCGAGAGGATATTCAGCTAGGATGCAACAAATGGTGAGTGAATCTATTCATTATTTTGGATAATCACTGATATCATCTGCTGTGTTTTTTAATTCGCTAATACAATTATTAAAAACTGTACTTTGACAATCATATTTTCATCTCCAATTTATAATTTTGCAAATAAATATTGAAATATAAAATTTATTTTTGCTTATCTCAACAATAAAAATTTTTATGCAAGTCATTATTTTATACATAAATTTTAATACTGCACAACTTTGAAAATATAAATTTTATAAATATATAAATAGAATAGAAAATTTTATAGTGATGTAAAGTGTAGTAGAATGAGAAAAAAATTAACGGTTGAGTTTGATTGTGCGACTTGCGATGTTCAATATAATATTCAATAAAATTTTGATGTTTAAGAACTTAAATTTAATGAATTTATTTATTATTTAATCTTATTAAAGTTAATTGTTCAATCTTTTTGCAAAACAGCAAATTATTAAAGTACAGTATCAAATATGCAACGACGAATGTGGGGTATGAAAATATTATGACTGAATACAATTGCTTGACACAGCAACAGATATAATCAACTTGTTTTTATTGCGCGCATTTCATCGAACGGTTCTTTTCTTTCGCTGAGCATCATAACATTCGAAGACCTTTTAAATACAATACACCTCTGCTCTTTCATAGCGGATGAAAACCGCAATTATACTTTATTGGTACATTATATTTTGTTTTACTACAATTCCGTTATAATCTTTATATTCAATTACTTGAATAATTGCTTATGCTTAATTAGCTATTGCTTAATTAATTGCATCACAAGGTAAGGTTCGTTTTATACACCGCGACAAATAAGTAACATAAATTCCTGATCTATTTCTTAAAGAGAAATTCTAATTATGATATATAAATGAAATGTATTATAAATAGAAAAATTATATATGCATGTAATACATAGAGACAACAATATAAGTTTTAAAATAATTGTTTTTTTGTTTTGTACATGATTAATGAGTCTAAATCTCTGCTCGGCTTACTAAGAATTTTTTCGACCGTCTATATTTCATGCAGAAAGTGCTCATGAAAAATTCAGATCTCTTTAACAAATAGATTAGCGAAGCCGAAAGAATTAAAGCCTGCATCACACACAAGCGGCTGGTTCGGTTCGTCGAACCGAGTTGCGACGATCGACGCACAATGACTCTAACGAGCCGCCGTAAGGCCTGCCGGTCCCCTCTCCCCCTTCCGCGGAGATTCGGGGTGAGGTTGAATGCGAGTGAGGTCAATGTACCTTACAGGAGGTACCCCGAAATGGAGTGTTGCGTAGGACGACGCCCCTGTGAACGCCTACGTGCTTCTGTCGCGACTGCTCGGGACCAGGTGAGCGAGCTCGCAGCCATCTGGATGGCTACGTTGAATTTCTAAGAAAGAACGTACATAATCTCTCTCGCATCCTTCGTTCGCGATGGGGATGGCCTTGTTAGCCGACGCGCCGAGATTTATCGACTTATCGTTTGTTACGAAGAGGAACCAGCTCGTCTCTCGCACGTAGAATAGATATCCGCGCTTGTGACACCGCGTGATAATGTATGGCCGGATGCTGTTGAAAGTTGATTCAACGTGGAATACGATGATTCGAAAGACTCGTTTTGTCATTTTATGCCAAGTCTCGCGTGGCGCAGTCTAAACGAAATAAAGAGTTCAGCGGCTGCGAAATTTTGATAGAATGTCTGCGATAGCTTTGTTGATTGTTGTATTTTTATATTATTTTGAAGATTGCAATAATTAAATTAATGGAATCTAATGGATCAGTGCTCGGAATTGCTCATTTCGAGCCGATTCCCGAGACGACGCCTCCTATTCTCCCACTACCGCTCGACGCTCGAGCAGATGCTGCGGCCGAGCCGCTGACGGTGCGTCTAATGTTTTAACTCCGCAACGTCTATTGAATAAGAGATAAGCAGTTAGGATTTGTATCTTTTATGGTATCATTATTAATATGTTTCTCGCTACAGGAATAATTTCTGTTTTCATTATAAATAATTATTAGTAAATAATTAAATTAAAATATCTGTCCTGAGTTAAAACATTAGACGAGCATTGTAATAGATCAATCAAGATCATAATAGATAAACTAATTCTTAGGAATAATAATAAAATAATATTATTATTCCATGTGTCAAAATTTTTCAGGTTTTCTAATTATTCTTTCTCACTTTAATCTATATTATTTTTGACATCTGAGATATATAACGTATTGAACTAGCTCGAATTTATTAGCTGTTCACGCTTGCCAGACAGTCAGCAGGCTGCCATGCCAAATAAGGTTGCTCACCCCGGGCGATCCCTGCATGGGGCCCGAGAGAAAGGCCCTCGCGGAGATCTCGCTTAGAGCTTTTGGCCCGGTCCGAACCTTTATCTTAATCGACGGATCTAAGACGATGCAGGGCTGCGAACATCGACGAGCAAAAAAAATAAGAAATAAAAACGAGCAAACCGTAAGAAAAGCGACAACGCACGGCAGCCGAAAGCGAGGGTCTCGTCGAGAGCCGCAAATTAGACGCTCGGCTGAGGGAGAGATAACTAAGGATCATCGAAAAAGGAACTCGACGGACAGAGGTCCGCCATACATCTTGCCTCCGGACAGCTCATCTGGACAGAAAATGAGAAAGAGTCCGTGATGAGATCGATTGCTAATTAATGTCGATCAGTTCGCAGTATAATGATTTCGGATTACAGGCATACAGCTAATTAGATATTTTTGTGCGGATAAACATTTAGCGACCGCGTCGAATATTTGTACAATCTTGTAATTTGCGCGTCGACACGCACAATTCGTTCCGCATCGTCAACTTAGAGAATTGTTAAGCCTGACTTCGCTATCTTCGCGCTTCGAGGTAGGACGACGACGGCGCGGCACGAAGTTTGTGCATCACGTTCGGGTCACTGGTGTACGAGCAGACCGTTATGAACCAGTATGAGCCACGGGGGAGGCATTATGCATAGCTACGGGCGTAATCCTGTCTTCCGAGAAACGATCGCTCATTGATCCCGCGAGGAGGTCTCCCGCCTGTCCCGACGACACAGGTCACGTCTGCATAACGGTCCCCCGCAAAGGACACGTGCCTCTAAACTGCGCGCACGGACTAATCAACCTGACACTGGTGCAGGCACCGCTATTGTGATCGGACGATTCCCTTCGTGCACGATTGACGGCTGTCTTACGGTAAATTTCTCTCGACAGGACCCGTGGACGAAATGAGACACGAATAAGGACGACCGCGTTACTCTTATCGGCGCATCCAAGTATTTAAGCCCTTGTTTATGCTGAGATGGTTTCGATACAGCGATTTGTGATGATTCTGCATTTTTGTCCGAACGACGCACGAAACAATGCTTCACGAGTCGAGCCAATCTCTCGACAAAGAGGACGAGGATTTCCGAGACGGTGCATCAGCGTTTATCAGCCTCTTCAACATTTTTTTCACGTACAACACGAAACGTGTTCTCGGAAAAACTCGTACTCCTTGACACGGGAGTGTGTGTCTCAATCCGTTGCGGTTTACTTATCGTCGCGTCATCGTTTAACGTAGTCGGTCAAGGAGCGCAGTCGTCGCGCAACGACGCATCACCTTCGCCGTACACTTGATAAATACCGCGGCGATAACGTAATATAATCCGCAGAGGTCGCATGTCCCATGAATCATCAAATATCCGGATTTTTTGACACGGGCGCGATTATGTTGCGCGAAATCGCGTGGGAATTTTGACTCAAATGATCAAGCTCGTACGCTCGTGTAATGTTTCTCAATGAAACGAACTTTCTCTGTTCTACACGCTCGTTAAAATTTTGCACGATGAGCTACTGACCGGCAAGCTGTCGTCGTTGCTGTAACGAGAGTCCGCCTCGTAGGATCGCGTATCGAAGGCAACGGTACTCGCCGCTTTTCCCATCGTTTCTCGTACATACTTCTCCGGACGGACTCCTGACGGCGACTGTTGCTAAGAATGATGTATAACGTGTCACGACATAATGGTCCCTCCATGCATCTCTATTCGCGCAGCGCAAAACGATCCATTACTGTCGATCGCGACGGTAACGCACTGGGGGAACGCAGCGGGAATAAAATCAAAATAAAGTAGATGCGCTTTAATGTAAACAATTTTTATTCAAGAGCTTTGTACAACTTTCGAAGCGATGATAACCTTTTGTTAATACAAAAAAAATCGAAGAAGATTAATGGCAGCGCGCATTAAACGCGAATTTTAATTATTTGCAATTTAATCATCATTAATGTCTCGATATTTTTGTCAAGTCGTAATTTTTTAAAGGAAAGCAGAGAAACCCGGACAGACGCGTATTTGGTATAACAATTGGATAAATCATAAAGCAAAACAACTATTAATGCTATAAATCTACGTACAATCAGCTGTGTATTGAAATGATTGATATTTGAATTCTAACGGCACACACGTCGTGTCTATTGAACTCGCAAAAGCGTTCGATCCTGCGGTTATCTATAGATTAGGTTCCCGCAATTTAACATTGATTTCCACGCGAATGGCAGAAAAGGAAAAGACGGAGCATGGGAACTTATTGATAATCTCTGAAGCGGGACTCGCGTATGATCTACGATCCACGGAGCCATCAAGTTACAGTTACTTGTTGCTTGCTGAAGCAGGCGTTGCCAATTGATACCGCGCGATTATGTTGGCAATCGCTCGACAACCTGGAGACCCGTGAATCGTGCCGGTTTACCAACACAATGCGCATTTCTTGTCGGATTCCAACGTAATCGACAAGTCGCGAGCGAGCGAGCGAGTGCTCGGCGTAGTGAGGGAAAAGGAAGACGGAAACAGGAATAGCATTTATTATGCATCACAATGAACTTTCTCGAGAAATGGATTATGACTTTCGTGTAGTTAAAAATCGCAAGTAATTAATGAGGAAAGTAATTTTCGGAGAAAGTAAATTTTGCAGGAATTCCGAAGTGCGATTCGCTTCGATGATACATCGCTCGATCTAGCATAGT